GGGAAGGACCAAAAGTGCTGTACCCTGGGAAGGACCAAAGCTGCAGCACCCTGGGAAGGACCAAAGCTGCAGTGTCCTGGAAAGGAACAAAGCTGCAGTGCCCTGGAAAGGACCAAAGCTGCAGTGCCCTGGAAAGGACCAAAGCTGCAGCACCCTGGGAAGGACCAAAGCTGCAGTGCCCTGGAAAGGACCAAAGCGGCAGCACACTGGAAAGGACCAAAGCTGCAGTGCACTGGGAAGGACCAAAGCTTCAGCACTAGGAATCAGCACCCTGGAAAGGACCAAATTTACAGCATCACAAAAAGTCAGATAACTTTATGCTATAGTGTGAGGCTTAGCCATCAGTTGGAATATTAATTATTAAATTATCTGCAGAGATCTCAGTCAACTTGCGAAAATGGCTGAGAAACCCTTTGGCAGCTTTCAATTTGTGATAATCTAGCGTTTAAGTATTAGTTAAATCTAGGGTAGGTTACGCTGGACAGGACACTTAGAGAGAATGCCATATGACAGAGGAGTGGAGAGGGAACAGTACATCGCCAGAACCACAGAGGAAAACGGCTGGAAGGCAGGCCTAGGCTTAGATGGATGGATGATATGGGAAAAGATCTACAGCAGCTGGGAATCTAAGCACGGGAAAGAAAAGCAGTAGTTAGGTCTGAGTGGAAGGAAGTAGTGACGCAGGCCAAAGCCCTACATTGGGCTGCAGCGCCACAGGGATCGATGGATGGATCTAAGTCATATGACCCATACTCTGGAAACCTTTGGAACTGAGGAATCTTTTATTTATCTGTTAAGTCACGTTTGTTACCTGCAATTTACAGGAGTTGTTTGTACTAAAAACTTAAGCTAAATAAAACCAATAACATAAAAACAAAACGCTCATAGATTTAGTTACAAAGTTTATTGGACATCAGATTTTATTTATTTTTTTTAAAGTTAAATATATTTACACCTTTGTCACAATTTATTTACATATGCACAAACAGTTGACAAAAAATAATGAAACATATGGGGGGGCTGTGGGGGGTAAGTATGGATGCATCCCAAAGACATTTACTAGAAGGAAAGCATGGATCAAACCCCCTTCAAATGAAGCCAGAACATATTTCCTCAGTTATTCTGCAGGATGGCTCTGCCTCAAGCACTCAATTTTATTTTTATCCAAGAAGCTCATGAGCACTTAATTTGAATTATCCAACAGCCATATCCCATTAATCCCAAGCTACCCAAAATGCTACAAATATTTAAAGACCTTCAAACGGATTTCTGTCCACATGTCTCAAGCAACCCACAGGACCAACGGCTATTATTTCCCTGAAGAAAGCAAAAAGTTAATTTAACTAAATAATTAGCTTTTAATTGCTCATTTTTTAAAAATCTTAATCTATTTATAAATTACATCATCTGTTTGACTTGTACAGTTTTTGTTTTTTTTTTAAAATTAAACAATGACACTGATAGTTAACAAAAATATACTCCTCCTTCAGTATGCCAACAACCATTGTTCTAAGTTTAGTGAATAAATATTAGGATCAAAACTAGCACAGAACTACAAAACAAAAGAGAACTTAAATAACGTAGACAAACACATTCTCTCCGAGTGGCTCAGTGACTGATGATTTGTTCATGTGTTGCTTGATCTTCAAATTCAAAGCAGTGTCAAATCTATACTGCACTGCTAAAACAAATTGGTAAAAGGAACCCAAATGAAAAAAAAACAAAAAACAACCTATATGTTGTAACTCAGTGTTACAGAATCAGACCCAAGTAATCCAAGATTCTTTGTTACTCAGTGTTAGTGTTACAGTATCAGACTCAAGTAATCCAAGATTTTTGGTGTTACAGTTACAGAATCAGACTCAAGTAATCCAAGATTCTTGGTGTTACAGTTACAGAATCAGACTCAAGTAATCCAAGATTCTTGGTGTTACAGTTACAGAATCAGACTCAAGTAATCCAAGATTCTTGGTGACTTGGTGTTACAGTAACAGAATCAGACAGACTCAAGTAATCCAAGATTCTTGGTGACTCAGTGTTACAGTTACAGAATCAGACTCAAGTAATCCAAGATTCTTGGTGACTCCGTGGTACAGGTACAGTATCAGACTCAAGTAATCCAAGATTCTTGGTGACTCAGTGTTACAGTTACAGAATCAGACTCAAGTAATCCAAGATTCTTTGGCCAGCATCAGAAACTTATATTTTTTAAACCCCGACATAACTTCCAGCTGGTTAACAACCCTTGCTTGGTGCAGACACCAGAATCAGATTTTCAGAGGGATCACTATTGACTTAGGTGCGCAGCCAGGCTAACAAGTATTGGAAATTTAACTGAATAAACATTTGAAAAATTCAACAGGCTGCCAAGTTGGTGTTTTAAAATAACAGTCGTTAAACATTGAAAAACTAAAGCAGGGATAAGTAAAGCATTTTTTTTGTTCTTTTTGCAATTTAAATTTTTCCAAGTTAAATTTCTTCATAATTTCTGTACATGTATCAACATCTCCTGTGTAAGGCAATCACACTGCACATTTTCCTTAAATAATTTCATTCATCTGGAGTATTGCGTTCAATAAAAATAATAATTTTATGTTACCGTGCCAACCAATTTTCAAATGAACCACAAAACAATATCAACAAAATATGTACACACAAATATGTCATAGGTTAGGAAATCAAAGGTGATCCATAATTCAAAAAGACATGGACAATAACTTTCAATAAGCAAAAATAAAAACTATCATTCTAGCAGGAAAGAGGAATATGAACGTATTATTCTCCTAAGTTATTATCTCTAACTTTAATTTAGTATAATAATCATGAAATTTTCAATTTTGTTTAAAAAAAACACCAACATTTTGTAGTGTGACAAACGAGTTCCCATAATCCAGTGGTTCTCAACCTCTGGGTTGCTACCCCTTTGGGGGTCGTCGAATGACCCTTTCACAGGGGTCGCCTAAGACATCAGAAAAACACATATACTCTACAGTTATGAAGTAGCAACGAAAATAATTTTATGGTTGTGGGGTCACCACAACATGAGGAAATGTTGCAAAGGGTCGCAGCATTAGGAAGGTTGAGAACCACTGCTGTAATCTTAAAGAGAATACAAATTATTTCCCAAATAACCATTTTTAAGCCAGTACACTTCCAGTAAATATTTTATTGAAGTATGGTTCCAAAACAGAATCCTCAGTTTCTCTAATGCTAGCTAACAAGACTGAGCAAGTTTATACCCAACACAATAAAGGTTCACTAGCTTTCACTGTGCCAGATTTAGTACAGAATATAGAAGGTGGGAAGACATTTTAAAAAAATCTAATTGTGTACATCTACTATAACAATTGCTTTTTTTTTTTTAATATTAACCATTAAAATTTGGGGTGAGGAATAAAACAAGCAACAATAGATGGCAGCATTGTCATATTACACCTGGGCCACCACAGTGATCGCAGCATTGTCATATTACACCTGGGCCATCACAGTGGCACTACATCATTTTTGGATTAAAACAACCAGTGGTATTCCGTTGTATAAACATCATATAAAAATCAACTGTACCTTACTACGGTTTATTACCCTCAACTGGGGAAACTGCCCTCTCCCCTCCAATAGATGAGAAGATGACTGTGAAAAATGCGTGGCCTCAGTATGGACTCACGCCGTCTCACCCACACTAGCATTTACAATGTGCACCTGCAGACCTGGGACAAGGCATTCTAGCAAAAAAAAAACTTCCATAATTCGAAGAAGTAAAAGTTGATGCTTGCATTTTAATCGCTCCTCACATTTCCCCCCCTCCCTCCCCGACCCCTGTTACAAGAAACTTTCAACAATTAGTATTGAAAGAAAATGGCAGCCCGTAGGTAAGTGATATTAATTTGTATGTTTAAACAAAAATTTGATTCAGTCTCGTGCTCCTGCTCATGACAAACTCTGTGACAGCATCTTCACTTCCGACGCCGCAGACACACGATCTTAATGGTGGCTACAAGAAAACCACTCGGATGGTTTGTGTTCATGGCAAAATGGGCATTAAGTTTATCTTTGTAAATAAAATATAATATTTCAATGGATCATCCCAAAAATAAATATGCCTCTCATTTAAACAACTAGCAAATACATGTTCCAGCATTGTGTCGGGGAAAAAAAATGAGAACAAAATTAATAAATCCCATGTAGAAATACTAACCTTGGAAGCTATTTTATTTATATACACTCAACATTTTTTTTTTAACGCCACTTTATAATAAATTTGAAAAGTTTACTTATTAATTGGATATTACTGGAAATACATGGATGATGCAAGACCAAGAATGAGGAAGTTGACCCTTTTGGACAGGCTGAGCAAATTGAGCTAGGAGAATATTGCGCCACAACAGCTGAGATTTATTCAATCTTTTAATAACCAGCAGACGCTCAACAATGTTGATGCAAATGAACCTCATTTAAAGATCTCCTTGGATGGGTCCATAAATTCTTTGCTTTTTTTTTTTTTTTTTTTTTTTTTTTTTTTTTTTTTTTTTTTTGTTTTGTGTGCTTTATAAGAGAAGAGAACTGGTAAATAATTTCAATGAATATTTCCAAAACAATGAATATTTCAAAAAAAACAATGAATATTTCAAAAAAAACAATGAATATTTCCAAAACAATGAATATTTAAAAAAAAACAATGAATATTTCCAAAAGCACACGCTTTTACCAAGCCCACAGGAGAAATTGACTCACAAACTTTTTGACCATTGCAAATTTTTTTTTTTATATGAAATATTTACATAAAATGTGACCAGATAAGTATACCCAAAATACAATCACTACACTAGATCTAGAGCTTCAATTTGAAATGGCTTTTCATGTACGACAGAATACATATGGCCAACAACATAAAATATAGTTTAAGGGGTACGTGTTTTGTTGTGAAATCATGGCAAGTTTTCTTTGGTTACAGACATAGCGTACAATCAGTCGCAACCTTGGTCTTGAGTACATTAAAAACTTGTATTTGCTTTAAAAAGTGATCTTGGGGTCATATCAACAGAGTCATTTATTGTCAAGTTAACATACCCATAATGCCGCATTTAAAATGAACTATGCCAGTGGTTCTCCCAATTTTTTTGACTGAGGGAGCCTCTTTTTAGATCAATTTCTATGGGGAGCCCCTTAGGTCAACCCACTTCTTAGAGTTAATAGTCTTAAGGAGTTTCCTGGAGCAGTTGCGCAGCCCCTGAGACATGCCCACAGAGCTCTAAGCTGTCCCCGGAGCACCAGTTGCAATGTAAATGTTAAACCTTTTGTAGAGAACGCAAATAATTTTCAATATCATGGATAATGGCAAGGGTACTAATAATTACATTTACAATCATGTTTGATAATGGTTTCTGTGGTTTATAATCAAGTTCAAATCTTTATATTTCATGAATTCAACAATAGAGAGGTTTTGTTTTAGAAAAATTTGAAGCTGCACAGAGATTTGAGGGCAACAACAAGTTTTGCACACAAATAAAACATGGAAAGCATTGAATGTAGCACACACACCATAGAAGTGAATGCTCTTTGTGCAACATAAACAGCTCTAGATGATGGCATCAAGGAACACTGGATCCACGCTTGAATGGGATGTTAAAACAAAACACTGGGTTAGTTAGAACTAACACACCCCACTTGAACATTAGAACACACCAACCTCTTTATGCAGATGCATAACATTAAAATTTATGAAGCATTCGGGTTTAGTGAATTTTCAGTGAAAAAAAATGATATCTTTATCCAACATTCTACCTAAATGTAACATTTACAGTAGTCTTGATACCAACATTTTCTCAAACAATTGTAATTTTAATTCAATAAAAAAGCAGCCACAGCCTGCTCCAAAATTCTAAATCTAAAAATTCATAATCATAATAGATTAACTTGACAGCTTAACTCTGATAAAATCATTTCTTGACCAAACTTGTTGAAGAAATTATAGTGAGTTGTATAATTTTATCCAAACCATTGATCTCATTACCTGTTTTTTAAGCAGGGCTTCATTTCATCGCAATGGGGGTGATGGATGGATGGATGGATGGATTAGATAGATGATAGATGTATTTATAAGTATTAGTATTGGAGATCCCTGTACTTATCCGCCTTTAATCTAGAAAAGGTGATCACTTCCAAGGTTTAAAGTTTTAACTTAAGATTAAAGGAAATCACTTCTCATAAGCACTTCAACTACTGAAGCAATAGCATTTATATACCACTCAAAGATGTTGTGTTTTAATTAGTTTTCTCACAAAAGAAAGATTCAATAACGTTTCAGGACATTTAGCATGGGTCTCGTGGAACCTTTAGAAACACCCCCGGTCAACATGTATATGTGCCTTTACACAAATATTTGTAACAAGTGACTAGTTGAATTTAGCTGTTCCAAGCGCCCTGCTCTACTATTTAGTGTGACTATTCAAAGACTGAAAATCAATCGTTCTTTATCTCTGTCCCAAGGGATCAAGCAAATTTGTTTTTCAGGTCAAATAGGCCAGGGGATGTGACTGCGGTGACACATAAACACCATCTATGCATACCACTGTAAAAAAAAAAATATATAGAAATCATGTGTACAACCCTTTGAAAGCTTGATGTTTCCATGACGACGGATCTGATTGCTAATATCACAAGACTTGACTGGCAGCACTCTGGCTGAGATAAATAACAGCTCCAACAAAGTTCACGCCGGCAGCAATAACAAAAACAGGAAGCCACCTGCCGTGGGATTGTGTGACCAGTTCAGCAGTTAAAGGACCACACAATATGCCCGGAATTGTAGCCTAGTGTAGATGATAAAATAATTTTAAGATTCAATGTTAAAATGATGAAAATTGTATTGCTGGGACAGACACAGATGGTAGTTGTTTAAAAATTCAACTACTACAAGCAAGAAACTAACATCTTAAAAAAGAGGTGTGCACTAAAAACTAAGATAAATACTAGAATCCTAGTCAAATTCATTTTCTAAATTAAAATTGAAATGTAAATGTTTATTTTGATAAAGCCTAGACTATAATCATCCCAAATGAATCAGGTTACAGAAATGTGGAGCACTTACAAGAGTATTGGAAATAGCAAAGGTGATTCCAGCATGGTTAGGTGCCACCTCAGCATGATTACTGAGATGACCAGAGGAGTTGCAGGCACTCAAGCCAAGTGATATGGACACAAAGCTAAAAAACAAAACAAAAACAGTTTCAAAAACAATTAACAACAAAAATAAATATATTAGGTACAATAGTTTTGATACGAAAAAATGAAAACTTATTCCCCACAGAAACAAAATAAAAAAATTATATTGTGTTTATTATTTCTGATTAGTAAGTAACCAAACCCTCCAGCTGATGCTTTGAGAAAGTTTGCTTATAACTTTTTATTTTATTTCTCAGGTGTGTTTGAACAGAAATAACACCATTGCATCGAGTTGGCATGTCAATGAATTGTAAAGCAGTTCCACAGTCAAAAAACTCTACACTAAATAGTACATAGTTCATAGTTCACTCTGTTATGATGAAAACAAACTGAAAACATCATAAAGCCTCATTTGGTAATTGTCAAGAAAGCTGGAATACATTTTTTGTGTTCATTTAAATCTGATAGTTCAATAGTTGAACATGAAAACCTAACAAAATATAATATAAACAGGTATTTTAATGAAATATGTTGCATGGCATGGCATTTACTTACAAAACAGCTATGTGCAGGTTATTTACAGCACTGAAGAATAAGATAAAGAGACCAGGTCCCAGCAATCCAATGGATGTCATAAGGCGGCGAACAGACAAAACTGTCCATTTGTGGGCAATCAGAGCATCCGCAAAATGAGCAGCCACTAATATGAAAAATCCGAGATATGAAATGCATGGCTATTGTAAACTCAGTTCAACTCATTCAGTATTATTCATGTAATACGGGGCAAATGTAATGATAAAATCACTTCATTATTATATATGTCATACAGGGCGAATGTTATCATAAACTCAATTCAGTATTATAAATGTAATACAGGGCTAATGTAATGATTAAGACAGTTCAATTATATATACTGCAAACTCTTATTTGTGAATTAAATGTTTCTAATACTTTCTAATACCACCCAAAGTGATATATTTTTATTCTTAGAAAACTAGAATAAATGACCCGATGTGTTATTGGGTTAATAATGGTAGATCCCATGCGATAATTTCTAACTGCTGTTGCAAAAACTCATCACAATTTATAACTTTAAAAATGTAATAATATTTACGTTTCTAACGTCATTACGTTTTGAGAAGAATTTATCTGCTATATATTATAGGCCTACCCTACTCCATTTCACGCTCCTAAACTACTTTTTCCTTCTCTAAACATGCCATTAAATTACACAGTCTAAATTATTACTAATTATATCACTTTTGTCACTAAAGAAGTTAATTGAGGGACAATTACTACGTTAGAGAAATACTTTAGATTTACCCCTTTTCGTGCCCTTGAATTACAACTTTTTTTTCTCTAAAAATTGTTTTAAAAAACTTGCCTTAAATTTACACCAAAAACTCTATATATGATATAAAAATATTTTATATTATAGGAATTCGATATATATTGATATCTTCAGCAAAAATTTAAACACATTTTTTGCCTTTTTTTTTTAAAGTTATATATTTTCAGAAAATGGTAAAACAAAGAATTCTTTTATTGAAGAAGAATCGCGCAACCTTTTTTCACATCTAAAACAGATTTGATGAGTCTTCTTGTTTTTTTTAAATTTAAACTTTTAATCTCATAAAATAAAAATCTCTTTACTTTTTGCAAAGTAAAAACAAAATGTATTTTAATTTTTTTAAAGTAAATATTAACTGATCCCTATTTTTTAAAATTGATTTTTCAAGTATGTAAAATGATTGGGTTTTGATATTCATGGTTATACTTATATAAATGTACCCAAGATTTGTTAACGCTGTTGATCTTCTTAATTGGTAAACATAAGTATATTTGTAAAAAGAGAGAATAACATCTCTTTTTTCACATATATAATACCATTGGAGTTAACTATGTTGTCATCCACGTGAAAATGTATACATCCTATTTCCTACCTCCGACATGTATTTACCCATGAAAATTAATTATTTATCAAACCATTCCTTTATTTTTTTAGACGTATCTTGTTCTGCCTTGAGCAAAATGAACATACACATATTTGTAAAAAGAGAATGTAACATCTCTTTTTTCCCAAATGTAATACCATAGGATTTAAATATATTGTCATCCACGGGAAAATGTACGCATACTATTTCCTACCTCTGAAATGTATGTTCCCAAAAAGGTTAATTATTTATCAAATTCATTACTTTATTTTGAGACGTATCTTGTGCTGCCTGGGGCAAAGTAACCAAACCCTACCCCACCCAGATTTAAATGAATTTAGAAAAATCTTCTACTGGAATGTTTGATTTGATTTGATATTTATATCGCGCTGGTATCCATGCCACTTTAGCATGCTCACTGCGCTCTGGTCCTCCGAAATCTATTGAAACAAAAAAGGTTTTAATTGTTTCTTAAATGTTTTTTTTTATCATTTACAATCCCCCTCAAAGATTGAGGCAAACTGTTCCATAATTTTGGCACTATCGCTTCAAAAGAGCGCATTCCGTAAGACTTTTTTCTGTGTTCATCCACTCTAGGAACACTCAGTAAGAACTGTGTTCCTTGAGATATTCCGGTGCTGAGCCATCTATGCAGCTGTACGCCAGGGACAAAAATTTTGTAGTTAATGTAGTCCCTTCCATTCCCAAACGAAAATAATTTGCACTTCATATGGTTCGTTCTTTTTTGTTTTAGTTATAAGTTGATTAGTCAATGCTATTTGGCTATGGAGTTGCGCTGCACTGTTTGACTTAAACCGCATTTTCTTATTAAGATTATATTTAAAGGTTATTTATCCTATATTTAGTTTTTATTACGTTATAATTTTAATAAATGTATATTTTTGGACTAAAAAAAGGCAAAACTTTTTAATGTTAATATACACAGCAGAAATGTGTGTCTGTTTTATTAACAATTTAAAAAGCAATCAATTGTATTTATTAATTTTACTTTTAAGAAGAGAAAATACCGTATCAGTTTTGTCACTCACGGTTAGTAAATTTAAAGAAACCTAAGAGTTTTGGAGAAATAAGCTATTCCTGCTATGACATCATTTGCCTGATTATTTAGAAAAAATTAATTTAAAATTTTATTTTGTAATGTTAACAACGCACTAAAAGACGCACTTAAAACGGCCGATGTTTGGGTTTTCCTGATTAATGTGATTACAGTGAATTTCTTTGAACATATTTTTTTAATATATTTTTTTTTCCATACCTTTCAAGCGCATATAAAATGCTTACAATAATACCTTAGTCGATACTTTAAATGTATTTGTAATTTATAATAATACAATTTCAACTTTTACGAAAATAAAAGTGGATTTTAAATATTTTTTGCACATTTAAATTTATTCAATTTCCGTAAAATAATAGAAAATAACTTTGATTGTTTTTAGGAATCCGAATGTACTTAAATAGTATCTCCCTTTTGGCGTTATGTGACTCTAGCTCATTCTTATATATATGTTAACAAGAGATATTCAAACTTTCAATTTAAAAAAAAATCTGATTTAATATAATCCATTTCTTACCAAATAAAATATTGCCAATGCAAAATTGATAGGTAGAAAAAGAGCAAGAGATGAAGATGGAATGGGAACTTACCCACACTAACAAGGGAATTCATAATATAAGGCACTGCAGTCAACATCATGTGTGACTGGTTTGCTCCAAGTGTTGATGACAGGTAAGTAGGGAGCCACTGCATAACAATATAGTTGGACCAGTTCATACTAAAGTGGGCAATGTATATGGACCACAGTGGCCAGTGAGTGATAAAATCCATCCACCTAACATTGGAATTGTTCACCTGTAAAGCAATCAAGTGTAAGCATGATTTGGAGAAATCGTAATGAAGATGGTAAGACTCAGATTGCAACATTTTGGTTCACAGGTTATAATTTAATCCAAAAAAAATTATTTTCTTCTTGTAATTGGATAAAATGCCCTAATTTTGAAATTAAATATTAAAGCCCAAATATGATTTTTGTTACCTTTACAACACAAAATTTCCACAGTTTTGATTTCTTTAATTAAAAAAAAGCAACTTTGGTTTAGATAATATTAAAGAATTTTGTTTTAAAACAATTATTTCAATAAAATAAAATGTATTAAAAAAACTTTTACCAGTTTAGTTAAATTCAGTAACTCAAAGCTTGATGCAAAGACTTAAATTTAACTCAAATTAAAACTATGGAAATTGTTCAGCCTTTTCAGTGTAGTTTTTTTCTTAAAAGCAAGATGTCCCCATGAACTATAACTGCATGATAATTATCAGTGACATCAGACAGAATTTTAAAATTATCTAAGCAATATCTCACCTTTGGGGGCTCAACAAACTCCTCTTCCAGTATTCCTCTGGATTCTGCATACATTGTATACCAAATCCCAACCCACAAGAAACCCATCAACCCAAATAGGTAAAACATCCAAGGCCATGGAAGGTGGGGACACACCTGTTGGGGACATACAGATAAAATAATTTATTGTTTCATTTAAATTTGCATTATTTAATATCACTCAAAAGAATGATCACTCTACACCAGCTTAACATCTTGTTAAACATGGTAAAGTTTTAAAGCACAATTCAAACTGAAAGAAAAAATGTTTGTAATTGTTAAAAAATAATCAATTTTTTTGCTCAGTGTCACTGGATTACAGTGATCCAAAACTGCTATCTACACATGGTCAAAACTAGGGATTTTAATAATTTTTTTTATGGAAAAGCGATTTATAAATATAATTTATTTTTTTAATTCTGGATTCAAAAAGTTTGAAAAGGACAAACAAATAATTAAAAATAAACAATTGATTATCAGTTTCACAACAGATCAACAGGAATTCCTATTATTACATCCTTAATTAAAACAGCAATAGAAAAAGAAAGAAAAACATTGAGATTAAAAAAACAGGCTGCAGAATGATAATTCACTTCAATGGATTCTACTTCTACATAAGAATGCAATATCAAAGACTGACTGAAAAATGTCAAAGAATTACATCTTTAAGAATGTAGTTTGATATTTCAAATGTAGCTATATCAACTTTTTATTTTTATATTAAGAATTTTTTGAATAGGTAGTTTTGACATACCACAGAAGCAACTGTCTGTCCTACAGAGCCAAGCGCTACCAGATATCCAAAAGCCCTTGATCGTTCTTCAGAAGGAATTGCATGGGAAAATATGTGAAATATGGTAGGAAGTCCTGTAGAGAAAAAAAAATAATTCAAATTATTAGAAATTCGACTCACCAAATAGTACATACTTAGGTATATTCTACACAAGGATTCTCACAAACACATTTTTCATCAGACATGGGCCTAAATAACAGCTGTGTTGCATCTTTTGGCCATCATAACTTCTTGTAACTATTGAGTTTGAAAATTTCCCCAAAATTACCACCACCCCACACTCCTTTAACCCCATTTGTCCAATACTAATCATGTATTATTCATAACTTTTTTTACCAAATAAGAGACCACAGTTATGTATTTGTGTATAAACAGCTGTAACTATTAAAGACTAATAGACCTAAAAATAATAATCAGGTCATAATCAGGTCATTTTCTGAAATTAAGGGTCACAACTTTTCATAAAACAATCTTTATGTGTACTGTAAGGTGAGAAATTACCTAAGCCTTCCCCTAATCCCAGAATGACTCTGGAAAGGATTAACATGTACAAAGAGTGAGCGAACAAGGGCACCAAAAATGTTGACAGAGACCACAGGATTACAGCAAGACTCAAAACCCTCTTGCCTCCATACTTTTTGGAAGCACTCCCTCCAAGAACCTAGTGAAATAGAAGATGGTTGTTACAAAAATTTTAAAATTCAACAAGTGTAGTGGCATTTTTGGTTTTAAAAATCACAGAATGAATATAACATGAGCTGACAGAAAACTTACTTGAAAGAATCAAAAGACTCAGTTTTTATTACATTCATTATTAACAATTAATCAAAACAACTCATATCAGCAAGTCTGCTATGTTGCTGATCATAAAAGCTTTACCTGGCTACTCATATATCCAATAGCAAAAGCACTGTGCACCCATCCTTGCTGATGCAAGTCCCATCTAAACTCTTGAGCCATAGAGACAATTGCTATCGGCATGATTACCCTGTCTGCTGAATTGATAAAGTTTGCCACTGAGCAGAGGGCAATAATACGAGAGGGCTTTGTCAACATTTTCTCCTGCAGTCCTGCTCCCAAGTACTACTACTACAAAGTCTGCTTCTTCTTCACCCTATATCACTTTAGATGCCTGACCCAACATAATGCTCTTCTTTGGAAAATTTACCTGTGGAATACAAAATGTAAGAAATACAATGATTAAATATTTCCTTTGATACATATAAATAAATAATAAAAAATAACATATTTCCTTAATTTTACTAAAACAATTAAAACCAACTTTTTTTTTAACTTTAGGGAAATTGTGTTTCCGCTCACAGCAAAGAAGATCTCTAACGTTTTTTACTGCGCTCTGTTTCTTAACGTATTTTCATTTGTCCTGTTTGCTGAAGAAGACTCCAAGTCGAAACATTCACATCTTATTGTCCCGTCTTTTGACTCAAGCTTCCACATACCTTGTTCTACTATTTCATTAAAAAAATCTTTAAAGGTCTTTTCGACCATTTCAAATTAACAGGTCTAAAAGAAAAACATGCCGTAATAGTTAGCAAGGACTAACAGTTACAATTGTTAATTATTCGAAATGATTGTTCTAACCCTACCCTGGTCCCTTGTACAGCTACTTGCATTTATTCTACTATCATTTTACAAATATAAAAAGATTATTTTTTAACAACTACTTGGCCTATAAGTTGAAGTAAAGAGCTAAAATTTGCTAATCTTCCTATATACTGGAGTTGTGCAGGTGCTAATAAAATGCTGTTAATGATGTGTAATGCAAGTTTAGAAACAGTCCTTACTTAGTTTTTAGTAGTCTTAAATGGTTACAAGATAGATCATAGACAATCTTAACTTTAGTACTTGGGTAAATTATAGGAGGTGTCTTTTAAAACAAGCTGTCACAAATCATGCACTCTTAGTGTCATAAAAATAAAAGACCTTACTTTTACTTTGCTGATTTATTGATAATAACTTAGGCCTGTTGATAATGAATCGGAAAGTTTATAAGTCCTATATTTTTGGCTTATATTATCAAACTTACTCATCACGAACGAGATCTCAAGAACAAGCCTTATGAAATTAAAATTTTGCACCGTGATTCCTCTTATACACAAAAGGGGCCTAAAATGAACAAAGTCTAAATCAAATATAAAAGCCATGCTTTGTTGGGTCAGGGTATTTTTGGTTTGTGTTTTGATGCCATGTTTTCTGTGTTTTTGCACTGCATTTGAACAGCACTGTTTGATTTTTGCAAATGATGTGTATCCCACAAGACTATTAATACATAAGTTCTGGAACCATGTATATTTGGTTGAATAACTGGAGTTACCACTTCGATCTTTCAATAATGTTTGATTATTGTGTTTGATCATTATTTCTTTCGACATTTAATAAGCAAAAATGAAAATTTGGCAATATCTCCGTATGGATTTCTCAATTGTTTAGTAGGTTTGGTGTTTATCATTTTTTAAAAGATTTTTGTGTGCATATTGTAAAAACAAAAAACAAGGCGTACCGGTACCAGAATTGGTGGCACAGGAATAAAAGTTGGGAGGTGGAGGTTGGCCTCTCACAGCACTTTTTATGGAGGGGGAAATTTTTGGCAAAATGCAGAATTTTTTAATGGAAAAATCCTTGCCCACCCCCGTTGGCAATAACCCTAGCTACCCCACTGACGGGAATACAAGTTTGAATGGGATGAGAGACATTTTGAAGAGCCATGGTTATAAATACTAAGAGGCAGATTGATGAAAACCATGAAGTGAGGATTTGGTTTCCCATGTAAAATGTAATACATTTAACTTGACTGCCACAGTGCTCTTTATATTTATTTCCTGAAAATTGTCAAGATAATTTTTCATTCATTGTTAATCATATTTTTAAAACATTTGAAATACATTGTTTTCTTTTTCATAGTAGGTATTTAACATTTTAATGGTAATGGTACCGGTACTGTGTTATGTACTGTAATATGGTTTTGAAATTTTCAATTGTGTTAAGATTTGACTCGTAGAATGAGCAATATGTAACAAAGGACTGAAAACTAGTTCTGGTATACAAAGAAAAGAATACCACAATAAGTGATACTAAAGATATTGAATTTAATTATATTATTTAATGTCTGTAATAAAATATACAGAAACATCAACTGAAAAGGCACAATCCTCAAAGAATACAAATAATAATTTACTTACACACACACATACAGTGTACAATCTTCCAATTATATAATGATTCATATATGTTTAGGAAATATAGCAAAAATCTCTCCCTGCTAGTAAAACTGCTGGCCTAGACAAGGATTAAATCAGAATATCCATAAAACAAATTTTACAAATTCTGTCAGCTGATAGCATTCTTTAGAACAAACAGAACATATATGAACATAAAACCTTTTCCCAATCAAGGTAGGAGTGGGTTAAAGGAGTGGCACAGCACATTTAATCCCTGAAGTCAACATCAAAAACAAAACAAAGCAAAGTGGAGACAAGTGGTGGGGGCTAAAATTAGGCCTACACATATGCCTGCAAATCATTACATACATGAATGAAGTAATAATGTGGAACTGATTCCTCAATATGGCCGCTATGTATGTTACTTATTCTGGCCTGGGCACTATAATTATTAGTCCTGGTATGCAGTTAATTGACGAGATATATAACCAATTGTTGATAAATAGTAAGAAAAAGGAAAAGGTTCACTTAATTCAGATGATAAAATTTATGAAAATGCTGAGTTGTACACAGAAAAAAAATGAATATTCACATTTAGCCCTACTTGCTAGGCACAAGAAGCTTCAATTGTTTACATGATATACAAGTTTGAGATTTACTGTAAAAGTGCATTGGTCATGTCTTTTGTGGCAGGGCCTGACACAAAGAGGGTCAAGTTCTTTGGAAACCCATATACTTATTGATTATATATCGCATATCTTTAACCACAATCTGTTTTATGTCGGATGCTCAAACGGATGCAGCAAGCGGTTCATAAAAGCTATTTGTTCAGATTACTCTTTGTTTTCATTGTTGTTTTTCTTTTTTGATTTTATAGCCGACAGTGGAACAAATTTAATTTAGATAACGAAAAAATTATTGATATTACGTATATTGTACTTGAAAACAAACACATGTTCACACAAAATCAACAACCCACCTCCCCCCCCCCCCACTTCACCATAGTGAAACATCTATGTAATGTTCTATAACGAAAAAATTATTGATATTACCTATATTGTACTTGAAAACAAACACATGTTCACACAAAATCAACAACCCACCTCCCCCCCCCCCCACTTCACCATAGTGAAACATCTATGTAATGTTCTAGTATATGTATAATAGCATTGTTGCTAATTCGCTCATCTTACTTTCACTATGCATTGGTAAAATTTACACACTGTTCCTTCATAACCTTCAGTATTGAAGAAAATCTTCTTTACAACATGCAGTTTCATCATGATGTTTTTAAACTTCTTTTCTTGACATAGCTGCCATCTTTGTTGTCATGATGTCTCCTATCAGTTGGCAATCATGTCAAAAAAATGCACTAAAAAAGACGGGGGCAAAAACAGGGAGGCGAAGGGAGAGTATGTGTTTAAGCTACTTCCTTACCTGAATGCTTATGTCCTGAACGCGAATGTCAGTAGCATATCCCTAACTGAAGCATAATCTTCAAACTTAAATTCAGTCCCCTCTAACTCAAGCCTAACCTTTAAACCTAACTTTAGTCCCCCCCACTAACCCGCTCCTAACTCAAGCATAATCTTCAAACCTAAAATCTATAACATTAACATAACTTAACATAGACAATAAAACCAAATGTTCATGTGCTACAGTTACACACTGTAATGAGAAAATCATAAATAAGAATTAAAATTATTTTAAAAATATTCAAAATAAGGAAAACACAAATTACAGTTTCATCACATAGCCTACACTTTTACACACTTAATTACAGTTTCAAGTTTCAGTTACAGATTACAATTGCAGGTTCCATAGAAAATAAAATCCAAAAGAAACTCAGGGAACCCGTAAAGGGTAATATGACCTTAAATTTGTTTTAATGTTATAATTTTTGTCTTGGTAAGCATATTTATCTATAAAGTTACTATTTATAACTATTATATTTATATTTTACATGCTGTACTGAAGTGAAGCGTACTGTACTGTAAACAAAATCCAAAGTAGGTACTTCGATGAAGCAAGGGAGACTACTAAAAAGTGTATGGGAAATAGGCGTCGGCGAGCGAAAATCCAAGTTTTAAATTTTTTGATGTTGGAACTACTATTTTTAATAATTAATATATCCCAGAATTGTGTTCCTCTTCCGGCCTTTCGCTTTAGAGGACATCTTGGCCTACATTTTAATAAATTTCTTTTTCATTTACAATCCGTCAGCTTTGAGAAAATCCTAGGTGAATATAAGGCAACTTCCACCATTAAAATTAAGTTGAAGTAAAAGATATGGCATCACTACATTTTTATGCACCTGGGTTCGCAGCAGGTCATGCAGTTCGCTCAGTCTAATTTTTAATGGTTGAAGTTGTCGATACTTAAGAAATATTAAATTATTACCACTATTTACATCAAAATATTTGACAATTTGTTTCAGAATGCAATTTGAAGACATTTAAACTGGAATGTTTTAATTTGAGCTTTAAAAACACGGTACCGGTAGAGTCCATATTAAAAATGATCAGAATTTTCCTTGTGCAACACATTGTCATTGGCAACCATTCACAGCCACTTGCATAATGGCTGTATCGTAGTACTACCTCATCAGAGTTTCATTCATAAGAAAACTATTAAACCATTGGTCAAGTAAAGTTTTAATTAATTATTCATGTGCCAAAGTTGAAAGTTTAAACTAAGTCGACCCTAAAAAGTATTTTAGTGATAAGGGGATGCGTTGACTTATAACAATTATATAGTCATTGCGCATGACGCGATCAGCAGAATGATGTCACAAGATGTGGAGGTTTCGTCCATAGTAAAAAATACCAAACAAACTCACACTTTAAAAATTCGTAGCTCAAAAAGTACTTAAGCTAAAAAGTTGATTCTGGTTTCATTTTTTTATTTGAAATTTTCTCTAAATAACTGTCTTATTAAAAAAATTATTTCGAATCTTTTATTAAAGTACCAAATGAATAAACAAAAATGATAACCTGTACACTGTACTGTAAATTGTAAAATATCACTTCTGAACAAAAAAACATGATTTTTGAATAGTTGACACTCAAGTGCTAGATTACTGATAAATCTATAGCTACAAACTCGAATCTTACAAATTTGCCAAATAGTATCAGTCAGTTATCGGTGATTGAAGGATTGATCTGACTCAGACTGACCAGATCCCCACAAGCCAGGTTACTGTGTGCGTTAGCAACAAAAGAAACGATTTGTAAGGTTTCATTTCGACTACCCAAGGCCTTAAAATTAGAAAAATATTATGTAGCTTTCAAAATATAATAAAAGATATGTGATTTTTATGTAAATGCTTTTTACCAAAAAAATATTTTGAAGGGAAATCTTAGTTTCAAACTTGACGTGGCAAACATATCGGTGTGGCCATTTTGTTTACGGGAAAATAAAAAATATATATTTGTATTTCGGCTGAGTAAAAATGTTTGGTACGAAACGAAATCGATTGATACTTAATTTTTTTTTTTTTATCAATTATAATTAAACAATAAAAACTAAACGGCATCCACACATATTGTTCCTCACTTAACCTTTTATAATTTCCAAGCACACATGATGTTTGCTTTTAAAACAAATTAATGTTCAATAACAATACTGATTTTTTTTTTTCTGATCGTGTTAAATAGATTAATCTGTTGTTTGTTCACCCATCCCCCCCCCCTTTTTTTTTAAAGGTGGGGGGGGGGGAATTTGGTAGAAATGTTACATAATATTAGGGGAAGGTCAGTGGAAAGGTTATAAGGGGGGGGGGGGTCAAAAATGTCATTATTTTGTTTTTTCTTTTAAAACAAATTAATTTTCAATAAAAATATTTATTTTTTTTTTTCTGATCGTGTTAAATAGATTAATCTGTTGTTTGTTCACCCATCCCCCCCCCCTTTTTTTTTAAAGGTGGTGGGGGTGGAATTTGGTAGAAATGTTACATAATATTAGGGGATGGTCAGTGGAAATGTTATAAGGGGTGGGTGGGTCAAAAATGTCATTATTTTGGCACCTGGTATGTCCTTTCTAGTAGATCTTCGTTGGTGATGGTATTTGGCCATTTGATGTTCAGGATTCTTCTAAAGCATGTGTTTATGAATGCCTGCTCTTTCTGTGTAGTGCTCGCTGTTGTTTTCCAAGTTTCTGCTCCATATATATAGTAGGACTGTTTTGATGTTTGTATTAAAGGTTCTGACTTTGGTTTGCAGTTTCAGCTCATTTGACTCCCATATTTTCTTTAATAGCACAAATGCTGATATAGCTTTTCAAATTCTAGCCCTTACGTCCGCGTCGGATCCATCATTTGTGTCTTTGGTGCTGCCATGGGCGCCCGCAGGTAGGGGCAAGGGGGGGGGCACTTGTCCCCCCCGTCCCCCCCCCCCCCCCCCCC